GAAAAATTAAAGAGAAAAAGAAACTGGTAAGAACCAAATTTGATTCATAAAACTGATAACAACATCTAAACGCATGAATGCAGAGTCAGTCGCAATACCTCTGAGTAGACGACTTTCCTTTTCGATGGTCTCAAATCTTCAACGTCCTCCATCTTTACATCTTCTGATGCAGGCTGCACGAGCAGATCAAGCAAATCTGGCCGACTCAATGACCTCACAAACGATTCAACTGAGGACAAGAAAATAATTTCCAAGTGAGTGATTCCGTTAAATTTCTGTCAAAATGATGAAAACTGAAACCAATCAATTATGTGGATATTAAACTTGTAGGGCAAGTCCGAAACATAAGAAATGCTGTAAAAAAAAAAGACTTGGATAGCAAACATATACAGACCTGTCTCTGCAGAAATTCCCTCTTCAATAGCCTTCCTCTTATTCTCCTTATCATTGGTTATAAGTAAAACCTTAGCTGAGCCAGCAAGATGACTTTGATACCACTGAGCGGCCACCCGAATTGCTGAACAACAATTTCTTAAGTGAGAAAAGAGTAGGAGATTAACAGATACATACCACACAACAAACCAAAATCTATCACCATCAGGTGGACACTAGTATTGGACAGTGTTGGCAAGTAACATAGACACAAAAAAAGAACAAGTACAAAACACCAAGCATATCATGAAGAATTACATTGCATAATCAAAACAAGCGCAAACCTCTATCATTTCGATCATTTTTACTTTCTCCGCTCATGTCCGTAACATATGTATCCCTGAACATAGCAGCAATAAAAAAAATTCAAAATACGCACCTAAAATTGACAATATCAAAAGCAACCTATTTATAATGAGCACATTCCCACATTTTAACATAAATAAGTAGAATTTTCATAACCTACTTGTGATGTTCATTCGAAAAGACGAAAAATTTCCTCAGAGAATTGCTGCACAGAGCTCTAACTCTATTGTAAACAGACAAGTTCCTGTTTTTAACCTCTTCCAGCACAATCGAAAGCACAACCACATCGTCAATCGCCGGATTCTCAATCAAATCAATCTGTAAACACCACCAACACAGCTCAAATCATTAGTTCATTCATTCGCAATTCGAAAAAAAAATTAAAAATTTAAAAACAAAGGGAACTTGACACGAACTGTAACCTGATGAAGGACGACATTGGTATCAAAGATGAGAATGGTGGAAGCGGTAGGGCTCAATCGAGCTCCGGACGTATCGCAAACTTTGCATACCGGAGCTCCGCAGTATATATCGTGCCGGAGATAGTGCTCTCTGACGACCTGAAAATCGAGTCACAACGAAATCGAAAACCCTATTTAGCTTAAACCCTAAATTGGAAAAACAGCAGCGCAAAGAGGAAAAGTTGGGGTCTTTTGGGACCTTGGTGATTTTGCCGCCTCTGGTTCTCTTGACAAATGACTTGTTCTGCAACATGTCTCGGCCTCCCTGAGACGTGCGACGGTGTCGTTTTTATTAGGAGGAAGGAGGCGGTGGAGTGAACTGGAAGGCGGACACAGACTGTAAAGTTTGGTTTGGGAGCGCGGGGACTGCCGCGTGAGGAGATATACGAGCGGTGGCTTCAAGCGGTTTATTTCACAGTCTCCGGTTCGACCGTTACTGTGTAGGGCCACGGACAAGTTCACTCTCTACATTTTTTTCAAGCAAACTGATGTATGTTTTAAAAATTCAACAAGTTAGCCAAAATGATTGAAAACTTATTTACTTCTTAATTGTTGAACGAATGCAATTGACCACGTAGCGCTCATGTATTGGTTAGTAGATGATGACAGATTTATCATTTGAAGTTTGCGATTTTTTTTTTTTTCCAAGTACAAGCAACATTCTAGGAGGAGGGTTGAAAATTTAATTTAGAAAGGTAGTGGGATGAAGATAAAATCTTAATATTTGATTACTTCAGCTATTTCCCAAGTCTTTTGATTTTTTATATACTCATCTTTTGCTAATGTCCTTTTTTTTATGTATGTCTCGCTTGCACCTCAAAAATTTTCCATCGAATGACCTTGAAAATGCTCATCACCACAATACTGACACATCCCGACCGAAATCAGGGCGTACTGGCCGCCACGCAGAGGTGACGTAACTATGTGCACGTGCGGAAGCTAATAAAAAGTAATATAAAAGTACGAATAATTAAAAAAACTAGCATACAAAGTAGTAAAAACAAGTGCTAGCGTAAGTGAGACGCTAAGTTCAGAGCAATAAGTCTACAGCAGTCCAAATTAAAATGATGCGACAACAGTGCACCCGAAGGTGACCCTACATTGGTGAGTGTCTGTCAGAAGTGCCGGGAAGCCCTCTGGGAAACCACCGAACCTGCTAAGCAACTAGAACCTGGAGTGGCGCAAAACAAAAGCGTGAGTGGGCAAAAACAAAGCTCTTTGAAAACCATTTAGTAAAATACATTCTAACCCCTCGCCGTAAAACCTGTATACTTCCCAGAAAATAAACATATATACGTAGGTATGGATATACCAATCACACTCAAGAATATGCCATGACGAAACCTCATAATGAAATGCAAGTGCTCAGGTATAAATCATGACAACAACATATAATCTGGCGGCCGGAGTCACCTAACGTGACCTGTACGGTTGCATATATAAATATAGAGCTCAAATCTCAAACTCAATAACTGAACCTGCCCACGAGTTGGAACCACCTAAAGTGGTCTGTACGACAGGCCTGGGTGTAACATATATATATACGCTCTAGTGCTGCGATCACGTGAAGGCTATGCGAATAATCGCGAGTCACCTACGAGTTGGAACCACCTAAAGTGGTCTGTACGACAGGCCTGGGTGTAACATATATATATACGCTCTAGTGCTGCGATCACGTGAAGGCTATGTGAATAATCGCGAGTCACCTACGAGTCGGAACCACCTAATGTGGTCTGTACGACAGGACTGTGCACCTAACTTGGATCCAAGCTGAGCGTGTGGTGCGGGAGGTGAACATCACGTGAAGGACTGTGCCCCTACTCTGGGCGGGAGCACTAACACCGGGAGTGCAGGTTATGAGCTCTCTAAGCATCTCAAACCACTACTGAATATAAACACGAATAACACTTACCTGGCACTTACCTGTGCGTCCAAAGCACCCAAATATGCATATGTACATGTATGCAACTAATAATGCACGTGATGATGCATAAACAATAATAATATGGTGCATGGCATAAAACAATTAACCCTTTTTAAACAATTTATGGGAAAATATAGGTATATAGGTATATACGGAAAACCAAAAGCCCACTCACTGGTAAGTGGAAGGGTCGTAACCCCCCTGCCTCGAGTGACCACGCTCGTCCTCGGGATACGTCTCACCTATATGCGAAAATACTATAAAAACGTTAATTTTAAAGCACATAACCTTCCTTTCGTAATAACTTCTCATACATTGCTCAAAATGGACAATTGAATATACCAACGTGCTCTACACAACCTCAGGATCACACCCAAATTTTTAGAAAATTTTTCCACCGCCGCACGCGCCGGCCACGCGCAGGCATGTGCTTGGCACGCTGACGGCGTCAACTGACGCCGTTAGGAATATTCCGTCAGTTTTGACAGATTCCGTTAACGGCGTCAGGAATATTCCATCAGAATTGACGAAATATTCCATCACCTTCTCCGGCAAGCCTCCGGCGCCGGAAAACTGGAAAAACTTCAACCTTCGATTTCTCTCTCGTTTTTCAACCATTTTTCGTGATTTTTGCACCAAAACGAAGCCTAAGACTAGGAGAACATAAATATACAACTTTCAAGAGCCAAAAACTACGAGATCTTACCTGACCAAACCACCCAACTCCGGTCAATTCCAAACACAGTGATTCCGACGTCAAAATTCTTCAAACGAAATACTCCGAGACTCCTTGGGACCACACCAAGTCACCTACGAGCTTCGTTTTCCCTAAAACGTGATAAAATATGTTTGCATGAATAGTACCCAAATCGGACACCGTCGAATCGACGTGAAAACGACGAAGTTCTCACCTGAAAATGGTACGACTGGACTCCCACGAGCCTCACGAGCTTGAAGGTGTACTTGGTTCCCTCGATCTGTAAAGGTTTGAGGGGTTTTGGGTGTGTGTGGTACGTTTTCAATGGAAAATGAGAGGAGAGGGGACTCGGGGGAGAGACAGGGAAAGGGACAGAGAGACAGTGAGAGTGAAAGTGTGTGTGTGTGGCCTAACACATGCCAACACCACACAAAACAACCACTAAACGTAAACAAAACGAACTAGGGGCAAAGTAGTCATTTCACACGCACGTTTTCAATATTTTCGGGACGGGATGTCACAATACAGTCTTGGACTCTCTAAGACATTTAATTAAGTCATTAGATTACTAAAATGATACTATTTATAAGACACCATTCTGACACTGAACTATTTATAAAATTGTTCTCTCAATTTAGCTTTTAAGTAGTTTTTGAAAGAAATTTAGAGCTAATATGATTTTTTTTTTCTTCTAATTTACTAAAATGATAAATCTTCAAATGAAATAGGCTAGTAATTATATTAAATACATATAAGTATTATAATCAAATTTCATATCTTCATTCCTTATAACAATATTATGTTTCTCATAACCAAGTTATAATATATAAATAAATAAAAACTTGCAAATACTCATATCATAATCAACGACAAGTTCGTAATATTGACACTTTCATATTTTAATATTTAATTTGCATGCATATATAAACACTATTAAGAAATACGAATGTTAAACAAATGAGACTGTATATTGTCTTAAATCGCCTAAATAATTTAGTAGAAAGTAAAAAGGAAAATTACCGACTCCCAAACAATTTTTAACCTTGAAAAAAAAAAAACAATTTTTAACGCCTCAACTGTTAATTAAACCCCTTGTTTGTCCCAATCAAAGTCAAAGAATTTCAATTTATTTTCTTATTTAATTTTTCCAAAACCAAAATTAAATACGAAAATGCGGAGAAAATCAGTCACGAGAAATACATCCCGACAGGCAACGCAGCCGTACGGAGTCGGAGATCCTAAGAGTGGATGGTCCGCCGACGTTTCGAATCTCCGACGCTGTCTTCTCCCCAAAATCCAAAAACCCCTCAGCTAAATCATCGATACGCGTCATGTTCTTCTCCATCCAATCTCCGCCGATGGATCGCCGCAATTCAATTCCGATATTTATCCTACTCGTAGCACTGATCGCCGGTTTTCTCACCCGAAACGCCGACTTTTCGGATCTTACCGACTTCCAGATTGTCGGTCCGCCTCGGAGCTATGACGGCGCCGTTTTGAACTCGGTCAGCAGCAGCCAGTTGGAGCTTCCGGTCTTTTACCAGACTAGAGACGGCGACGTTTTGAACTGGGAGAACGGGGAGAGCAGGGCATTGCAGCCGTTGGGGTCGCAGCAGAAGGAGCTCGAAGTCGTCTCTCGCTCTCCAAGCAGAAGACTTCACTCCCATACGTCAGTTGACTCAGTTCCTTCCTTTCAATTGTTTAAATTCCTTTGTTTTTTTTTTAATTAGTTCATATTAATTTCGAATTCGATCAATCGATTATTGTGTTTGGTCGATATTAATTCTGAATTCGATTCGAAGTCCGAATTTTTCTGGGTCAATGTTGATTTTGAATTTCGATTTGAAAGTTTGAATTTTTCTGGGTTAATGTGGATAGGGAGGATGAACCTAGAACTGCATTAGTTGCTCTACTGGATGGAACAATACAATTAGTGGATAGAAATTCGATGGGAGTTAGATGGGCGTTTGATTCGGGGCCGCCAATTTACAGTTCCTATCAGGCTCAAAGCGGCAGTGGGTACTTCATATATTGTGGTGATGACTGGGACTTGTATGAGCACAGCGATCATTTTGGTCGACGGGTATGTCATCGAAATGCCACTATGTTTTGTTTATTATTGCATATTTCGTTTATGATTAAATCGGTGTTACTCTGAATTAATTGATATTATCATTTGGATGTGGTGATTGTATAGTTGTGAGATTTGTCTTTAGGAGTGTTGCGTCTCAGTTTGTTTTAAGAATGAACTGGCAAAGTTGGTGACTTTGGTAATGCAATTTAAGAGTCACGAGGCCTACAGTAACGTCCAAGGAATCTTTGATAAATGTTACCTAATTGCAGTTTTGTGGGTGTAATTAGTCCCTTTTTTTGGTCTTTATGTTATGTTACCGTTAGCTTCATTTTATTGATAATACAAATGGGGTGCCTAACTATCTTCCCATATCTAAATAGACAATTGCATCTTGGTTTTCTGTTGTTTTACGTGTAAGTGTTTTTGGAGAGACAAAATTACCACTGCCTTTGATTCCTCATTTTTCTTGCATTCGAGGCCCATAGCTGTAAGATGTTCCCTACCAAGTTAAAGTTTCTGGATTATGAATTTATGACGCAGACTAAATATGATCATTCCCAAAAAAGCCCCTTTTGCTACTTAGAAGATGATGATGTGGAAACTGCGTAGAAGTTTATTTATATCTGAGTATTTGTTGCTTGTAGAAACTGTGACCTTTTTTTGGGAAAGGGGGATGGGTTGTCACTGCTTTTTATACACTGATCATTGACTTGCATGTACTTGCAGAAAATTCCATCAACTATTGCTGAGTATGTGGATAAAAAAACGCCTAAAGTGGAGGAGGATGGATCAGTTACACTTGGACATAAGAAGGTCACCTTCTTTGAGGTTGGTCTTTTTACCGGAAAGGTATACCGCTCATACACTCTATCCGAAGATCATGTTAGAGATCGAAAGAAGTTTGTCAAGCCCAGTTTGATAAACGGAAATGCTGGTGAGCCGCGAATAGTATTCTTCAGAATAGATTATTACTTGGTGTCTTACCATCCGTATTCAGAGGAAGTATCTTGGAATATGACAATTGCTGAAATCAGGGCTGCTATCCCATGCAAAGATATTGAGAATCTGATTCGTGGTTCTAAAACTGGCAGTCAGATTGCATTACCATTTGACTGTCAGTCAAAAGCACTTGTTAAGCGCGAGCGAGATCATGGATCATTAGAGCATCAACAGGCAGACACTGTGGTCAAAAAGTCTGCTTCAGATCTGGTTGTTCCTTTGAACAAAAGAGATCTGGTTGTTCCTTCAGAGCCTGAGGTTCACAATATGTTTCTTCATTGGTCAAAAGCATTTGCTCTCGCGTTTTTGTTTGTAATCCTCATGGGCCTTGTTGTTTACCACTTTGTTTTTCTGGTTAATGGTCAAAAGCCTGATCCGAAAGCTTCACCTTCCAAGAGGAAGAAGAATCGGAAATTGGGAAAAAATGGAATTGTTGAAAGAAAAGAGGAAAGTGTATTATCTCAAGATGAGGAAGCTTTAACACAGACCGAAGGTGATAACAAGATGTTGCCATTTCTTAACAAACTCTTTGATGGTGGTACTAATGGTCGCAGGATTGGTAAACTAGTGATTTCAAGTACAGAAATTTCTAAAGGAAGTAATGGTACCATTGTCCTAGAGGGAGTTTATGAAGGTCGACCTGTTGCTGTAAAACGCCTTGTATTAGCCCATCATGACATGGCTTTTAAAGAGATTCAGAATCTTATTGCATCTGACCGACACCCAAACATAGTAAGATGGTATGGAGTGGACTATGATAAAGATTTTGTCTATATCTCTCTGGAGCGATGTATTTGCAACTTGGATGATTTGATACAAATTTGCCCAAATTCCTCTCAAAATCCAGTAGCTGGAGAAGAAGATGCAAAACGAGTTCTGATTGAAAACGAAGTTCGCTTGAAGTCATTGAAGAATATTATGTCAGATGTTACTTTGTGGAAAGTAGATGGCTTTCCGTCACTTCTACTATTGAAATTAACGAGGTTGGTTAAAAATTCCATTATTGGGTACAATCTTTACCAAGGGATAATAACTAATCTCTTGGTACTAGGTGGTTATTGTTACGTCAATTGATATGTTATTAGATTGGTTTAGCATCTTATTGACCTTTTACGTTTGTCTGTAACACAGGGATGTGGTTTCTGGTCTTGTGCATTTGCATGAAATGGGGATCATTCATCGTGACTTAAAGCCTCAAAATGTTTTGTTGATTAAGGAAAGAACCTTATGTGCAAAGCTTTCCGACATGGGTATTAGCAAGCGCCTTATCGGGGACATGTCTTCTTTGGGTCATCTTGCCACTGGAAAGTACTCTTTCCCTGTCTACTTCAAACTTTAAACACCCTACCTATGATATTCTCATCAATTCTAGTACAAGTTCATCTTCAAAATCTGAATTACAAATCTTAAATGTTAATTACTTGATTGCAGGTTGTGGCAGTTCGGGTTGGCAAGCCCCTGAACAGCTTCTCCACGGGCGGCAAACACGAGCAGTGGATATGTTTAGTTTAGGTTGTCTCCTATTTTATTGCATCACAGGTGGTAGACATCCATTCGGTGATCAGCTTGAACGTGACATAAATATTGTAAAGAACCAAATGGATCTCTTCTTGGTAGAGCATATTCCTGAAGCTGTAGATCTTATATCTCGTTTATTAAACCCTGACCCAGAGAGAAGGTAAGGGTATTAGTTTCTCGTAATGAATTTTTAGGAAGAAGTATATAGCACCACTGGAAGGATTTTTTTTAGCCATATTTAATCAAAGACATGTTGAAATGTTTGTTTACTAAAACATTCTTGATTTGTTTCCAGGCCAAAGGCATCGGAAGTGCTGCTCCATCCTCTTTTTTGGAACTCCGAGACAAGACTCTCGTTTCTTCGCGACTCCAGTGACAGGGTAGAATTGGAAGATAGAGAGGCTAACTCTGGTGTTTTGAGAGCTCTAGAAAGTATTGCACCCATAGCTTTGGGTGGGAAGTGGGATGAAAAGATGGAGCCTGCATTTCTCACTAACATCGGCCATTACAGGCGTTACAAATTTGACAGCGTTCGAGACCTATTGCGAGTCATTCGAAACAAATCGAATCACTACAGAGAGCTTCCAAACCAAATTCAGGTTTTTCCCTTTTTACCTTTTCCTTTTCCCTTTCCTGCTTAAGCTTTCTACGTGCACGAACCGGTGATGTTTACTCTCTTCTTTTCCGGCCACTGTATCAGGAACTCGTCGGACCAGTTCCAGAAGGATTCGATTTCTACTTTGCGAGTCGGTTCCCGAGACTTCTGATTGAAGTATACAAAGTTGTGTGCCAAAACTGTAGAGAGGAAGAATGCTTTGGCAAGTATTTCAAAAGCAATGCAGATTAACGCTTTTGATAATGTATTAGTGTTCCATATTTACTATTTGTCTACGTGTAAATGCAGCTGTAAATAGTAATAATATTACATATATAATTATGTATATCATTCTCCTTAAATAATTTAAGGATAGCTTCCGACTGAATGAATAAAGTTTAGAAACACGTCTCATCCCAGCTGCTGTTTCCCCTTCCCCCAAACTCTTGAGAAAATTTTCGGTGTATTGTCACACGGCCACGTGATTTATATGTTACTAATTTTTACATGCTTTATCGCATATTACTCATGTCGTTGATTTATATTATAAAACATATATGAGTAAAACTTAACTTTGTGGTCCACCACCAAACTTTTTGGGTCGGAGTTTCACTTATTAAACCACATATGAAATTGGATTTGACTTTGTTTCGCTTCTCTCCCAAGGAGGAATTCTTATATTTATGTCGATTACAGTCTAGCATACGTACATGACTCATTAAAAATGGGAGGAAAAAATTTATGCTCGCATTTCAAATTGTGATTAGCGTCGGATAATTTCATGTACGTATAAAATAAGAGCAAGGTAGATTTCATGTCATTCTGCATATATTTGTATACTTTTAACTTAGCCAAAGAGCTTTGCCCAAGCATTCCCATAAGAGTAATGTAGCATGAAAGATATATAATGACATGAGTTATACACACATGCTTCTAAGTATCGCAGCGGGATTGTAGTTTAGATAGTTAAGAGCATTCATCTCATGCACGTGAGCTCCTAAGCTCGATTTCCACTCCCAAATATTGCTTGTATTAAGAACTCATTCGTATCAGACGTGCCCTCACGAAGTCCTACTTGGAGTTAAATGGTTCTGATCAGGCAGGATTACCATTATCTAAACTCCGACTTGAAGATGATTGATCAAGGTGTCTCCTTTTCGAGTTAGACATCGCTTCATCTTCCGCGCTTCTATTTGATAACCTCTCCATTCGTCTTCTTTTCGACCGGCTTTTTACTTCCTCTTCCTTCTCATCAACAAATGTGAGAAATGTTTGAACGCGTGCGGACGTGGAGCTACCAGTAGAGATCAGTTCCTCGGTGTAGTGCTTGCTGAACTGGCGCAGCATAATACAGAAATATATAGCGAGTGCAAGGAAGCAAGCTACACCACAAATAATAAAGAGGCCCCCGAAGCTTTTGAGTTGAAGCCTGTCGACTTGCAGCTTTCCACCATTTGAGGCACAAGGAGTTCTCATAAGCCATTTATCATAGATCCTTTGCAGATCCCCGTTCTCCGACAGCTTCAGAAGTGCAGTAGACAGGTCCACCGCTAAAGGCGAGTCCCTTGGAAAAGCCTGATTTGAAATGAACAACGCATTCTTGTCAGATCATGTAAACTGTATCAACGAATACTTGTTTGAATATGTCTATAGATTGACAATTTGATAACGCAACATGTCAGACTATCTAAAAGAGAAACTCACAAATCCCCAACCGGTTTTGGTGAACTCTTGACCCACAACACTGAATTCACATCTGCTTGAGAGGAATAGCTCAATGAATGCACGCTCGTCAATCACTGCAGTGACACCACCTCTATGGGGACCATCTTTCAAGGCTTTGGCATAGTCATCTGGCGTGATAAGAGGAACGAGTCTGGACTCGTCAACGTTGAGTTCATCAATTAGATAATTCCGGGCAAATGAACCCTGCTGGTAGCCAATGGGATCGTTGCTTGAAAGCAAATCGTCAAGGCCTTTGATAGAGAAAGAAAGCTTTTGCACTGTAAGGATTGAGGTCAAACTTGCAGTGTAGCTTGAGTTGATTATAAGAACAACAAACAGCCATATAATTAGAACTAAGCGACCAAGGGTGCTAACTGTATTTTCTCCTGCACAAGATCCCAATCAAAAAAAATTAAAAAAAAGAGTAGATTAGCATTGCTGAAGCTGCAATTTATCCATGGTTGCTAAGAGATGTACCGAATTAGTTCAAATTTACTTACTATGTGCAAAGAACCAAGTCGAAAAGCTAAACCTGCAGAAAGGAAGCAAGGATTGTGAGTGATTTTGGGATTACATCAAGAAGATAAAATTCGTAACACGAGTAACTCTACAAGGAGATACGATGAGAAAATGACACCAGGATTAGACGACATGATATAGTTCTTAATTACTTACCACAGAAGAGTGACGAGTTGTCTTTTAGGAGGCCCCCGAAATTCATCATTCTGCCTATGCTCTAAAATCCAAACAACTGTTCCAACTATGAGAAAGAAGGCGGCCGTGACACCCCACATCATTGGACTGAATGGCCTCAGGAAAGCCCAAGGATTTGAATTCAATATTGGCTTAACAGGTGCAACTACTACTAGCCCAGATTCGATATATGGCTGTGTAAAATCCGCCATCCTTGTTCGGTTGGTGGTGATTGCAATGTCACTTATTGCTCCATCGAATTCCTATATGAGACAAGATACAAGAAAATCAGAAAAAACATTTACCTTCTGAGGTTTTAGGAAATGTTCTGAATACAATGATACTCACACCCGTTTGGATTTTGTGCACAAGGTCAGTGGCACTTGGATTCTTATGGCCATCACCGAAAGGAATTAGTTTGTATGGGACAGCATAGGGCAACAAGTTCACTGCAGCAGTAAAAACATCTATGCAGTACCCAGTGAACAAGTCATTGCCATCTGAGTATGAAACGAATTCACGAAAACTAACACGTCTTGAGACTCCAAACCTCAAGTGCCTTCCGTTGTTTGGAAACACCCAACCACGAGGCTTCTGCGTTGCTTGTCCAGGCCAAACCACACCGTACACTTTATCGCTTGAATCAGAATGATTTGGTGCCTTTGTGTAAAGTGTTTCTGGAGGCGCAACTGATAATCCCGAAAAATTGGACCAATAACCAACCTTCCTAATCCCCGTTCCAATCACATTTATGATCTCAAATGCAGGATGAAAGAGGTCCTTTTGTGGAGTAAACATTATCGGGCCAGATACACCAGTCATATTAACCTGCAAAATGTTTTTCAACAACAGATTGCCTCCATTGAAGATGCTCAGAGCATCAAGATTTAGATCCCCTCCGCGAAGCTGAGTCAACCTTGAATCATTTGAGAATGAAAGGTTTCCCCCTTGATCAAAAAAGGCATTAATTGCATGAGCAAGCAACCACACAGTATCGTAGGCATAAAGACCGTAAGCATTCAACCCAATTGGGCCTTTATGTCCACTAGTCAAGTTGCTCCACCTTGAAACAAATTTTCGCTTCAGTTCTGTCTCTGGTGTGTACATGCGCAATGTTAGAACTCCCTGCATAGCATCCATCGTATCTGAAGGGAGGGGAGAGTTGGTATCTATTAAAGTAGAAAGCCAACTGGTGGCTATCCAGACATATCCAGTTCCCATCATGCCAAGATACTTGGCCACTTCGAACACCAGAGAACCCCAACTGTCATAAGCGTGAACAACAATAATCCGAGACTCTGTTAAAGCCACATTAACCAGTACATCAGTGATGCTATCCCGGTTAGAATTAAGGACCAATGGCGCCTTGTATGATATCCTGCATCGTTTCTCAGCAAGCTTATTTGATAATGCAGTAATCCCATTTCTCCCATGGTCATCGTCAACATAGAGTGCAATTACCTCCCTCCATTCGTAGTAATCAACCATATCTGCTATCGCAGCCATTTGATAAAGATCGTTTTGGGCAGTTCTAACAAAGAAAGGAAACTGAAGTGCTGACAGCGTGGGGTCTGTTACCGAAAATGATACTAGAGGAACTAGGAGCTCATTTGCAATATTAGATAATATATGAGCCGTGACAGCATTCAGCGGTCCAATTATCGCCATTGTGTCTTCCTCCATGAACCGTAAGGCTGCAGACAATCATAGAATAAAGAACCTTAGTTTGTTTACTTATCAATGAATCAGTGATCCTACTACCTGTATATTACAATGTAAGAGAGGATTTTAAAACTTATGAGCAAATTCACAAGAAGTACCTTCTATAAGGCCCAGAAGTCCACTGTAATTTGAGTCCTTCATTGTAACTCTCATCTTGGTTCCACCAAGAACAGATGGATCAGAATTCACGTCTTCGACTGCGGCTTCTATTGCCACTTTGGCAACTTTGCCAATAAAGGTATCGAAAGAGAAAATCGCCCCAAGATTCACAACATCTGGTCTAGTGGAGACATTGGTGGTGCTGGCACCATTTGAGGCAAACCCACTACAGAAAATCATCAACACCAGCAGCCAAACTATACTCATGGCTAACTGTTCAACCATGAACCCTAAAATTTTCACCTTTCTTTGCCAAGGAAGCAAACCGACCTCCCAGAAAGTGATATAATCAACTGCAGTTCATACTCTAACACTACAAAATCGAAAAACATCGAAAAATAAGCAAGACACTGAAAAATTCATCCAATAACATGAAGAAACATAGGTGCTCAAAGAATCTGCAGATTTAAGCACAACAGCATAAGCTCCAGAAGAAGTGGACAAAACAGGGGTTAAGAAGCAGAAATTATCATTAATAAGTAGATCCAATCTGAACACAAAAGCTAATTAATAAGTGGAAAAGCTAATGAAAGCAGCTAACAGAGACAAAAATTGAAGTTAAAAAGCAGCTTGTGAGGAAAGTGCTTACTTTGAGGGAAAAGCAAGAGCTCTCAAAAAAGAGAAATTTGATTTGTGGGGTTTACAACACGATGCATATATTAGTATATTCAATTCAACAGTAAAGGGGAATTAAACAAAGTAAAAAATAAAAAAAACAGTTAATTAAGGAAAAAAAAAAAACCTGAGAATGTTGATTCCAGATGAAAAGACAACTAACACGACAGCCGTTAACTTAATCCAAAGAACTGGCCCAAAACCCAGAAACCTTTTTGGAGAAAATCCGTTGCCGCTACAGTGACATTTCCGTTGCATCAAAGTTCACTTCCCGAGCCAAAAACAACTAAAACCAAAAACTTGGCCAACTGGGTTTGTATCTAAAGAAAAAAAAACATATATAATGAAAAAAAAAAATAATAAAGATTGGAACTTTATTCATTTGTCAAACATTAATAGAATGTTCTGAAGATTCCCATATATTATTGAGAGAATATAATATCATGATTCGCATTCGCATGCTTCTAACGTGGGGTTGGAAACCAATACCAGGTCTAAAG